TGACATTTTGTTCCAATTCATCAAAACAAGAAATTTTTGTGTATTTCTCCGATTTTCCAGACCAAATCACATTGGGTTTGCAGTATTTAGTGGATTCCTTGAAAGCCTTATCGCCCCAGGACCCAGTAACAAAGTAATCAACGGAGTCGTTGGGTTTGCAGATATTGAGAGGGAAGGCGGCGAATTGGGTGGTGGCGCCGCCTTGGAGAAACAAAACGGCGTAATCGAAGGGGATGTGGAGAAGGGTATGAAGATCGGACTCTGGTTTTTGGATAATGGCTAGGAATTCTTTGCCTCTGTGGCTTATTTCCATGACGCTCATGCTGGAGTTGCGCCAGTTGTAAAGCTTCGATTCTAGTTTTTTTAGGACGTTTTCGGAGAGGATGGCAGGACCGGGGGCGAAGTTGAAGAGGTGATCGTGGGATTGGGCGGCGTTGGTGGTGGGGTGATCTTGGAGTTGGAATGAGCAGGTGATTGAGATCAGGAATGGCAACGGGGCGGAGCGGGGCCAGGGACCACACTCCTCGTCCCCGATCCCCGAATGTGAGATATTCCCCGTCCCAGCCCCCGATCCCGAAAAATCCCCGGTGATTTTTTTTTTTTTTTGATCTGTTAAAATCTGTAAACAATCCTAGGTAAATCTGTAAACAATTTCAGATTTGTAAATCTGTTAGCCCATCCTTTTTACAGATTTTCAGATCTGTAAAAATCTGTAAACAATATTTGTCAACATATTTGTTAAGTACAAAAAATCTATAAACATCCAATTCAAACATATTTGTAACATATTTTCAAATTAAAAGAGCGGCGGTGAGGGAGGTCGGCTGTGACGGAGGAGCGGCGGTAAGGGAGAGAAAGCAGCAGCGGTGAGGGAGCGATGGAGGAACGGCAGAGGTGAGGCGGTAAGGGAGGATCGGTGGTGACGGAGGATCGCTGGTGAGGAGAGAGGCGCGGCGGTGAGAGAAAGAGAGAGGCGGAGACCAAACCAGTGGTGGCGAGCGAGAGAGAAGAGCGAGCGGAGCAGAGAGCGCCGTGTAAGTGAGAGAGTCTGAGTGTGTGTGTGTGTCTCAAACACTAGACAAACACAAGCATATATATATTCAGGGACAAAAAGGTAATTTTACCTCGGGGATTAAGCGGGACGGGACCGGAGCCGGGGGGCGGGACCAGGTCCAGGTCTGAAACACCTATCCTCGTCCTTGGCCTGGATATCATCGGGGATGAACTTTTGAATACCATCCCCGGCCCGTCGGGAACATTTTTCTGTGAATAACCACTGAATTCGGGGTTTGGGGGTCAGGTCACCGTCGGGTCGGTTTCAGATTGCCATCCCTAATTGAGATGGGCCTTTTGGAGAGTGAGGAGTGAGAGAGAGGAAAGGCAGTTGTGGTGGTGGGGTTTTTGAGGTGGTTGTGATTAGGATTTTTTAGGAGGGAGTGATGAGAAGTTGCTGCTGACATTGCCATGGTGTTTGTGTCTAGATTTCTCTCTAGAAGGATTCAAAGAGGTGGAGGACTAACTTGGGTACTCTTTGCAGAAGAGAGATCTGCAACTTCTTTGGGACTATAAATAGGCTACTCGATCTGTACCAGGATCTCTAGAGTGGGATTTCCTAGAGTGATCCTTGAAGTGAGTGATCTGACGGTGTAAAATAAAACTAACCAAAACGACGTCGTTTTGGTTAGTAATTTCAAAAAAACAAAATGGAAAAAAAAGTTCCTAATAATTTCAGTAATATTTTGGATTCAAAATTCATCCAAGATTTGGAAACAATTCATCCAAGATCCAAATAGCCAAAAGAAAGAACAGATCTGGAAACAAGCAAATTCTAAGTCTAATTACAACAAACACAAAAACTAAATTACATTCATACACACACAGACATATATATATATATATATAAATCAAAAGATTAGAAATGTGAAGACAGAGACAGGAAGAGTTCATCGGCTGATATACCAAGAAAGGAGGTTAGAGAAAAAAAATCCTTTACAGAGAGAAATGGAGGTGGGTCTCCTTCTTTCCCTCATCAAAATGTCATGAAATTCTTCTACAACTCAAAAACAGAGAGAGAGAAATAGAGTGTTTAGTTCAAATTTTTCCCCTAATTTTTGGAATCAAAGCCTTAATATTTTAAAGAAATGTGAAGACAAAGGAAGAGTTCATCGGCTGATATACCAAGAAAGGAGGTTAGAGAAAAAAAATCCTTTACAGAGAGAAAGGGAGGTGGGTCTCCTTCTTTCCCTCATCAAAATGTCATGAAATTCTTCTACAACTCAAAAATAGAGAGAGAGAAATAAAGTGTTTAGTTCAGATTTTTTCCCTAATTTTTGGAATCAAAGCCTTAATATTTTAAGTTTGGAGGATGATCAAACCTGTGGTTTTCTTCCTTCAATCTGTTGGAGTATGGCGGGCAATGGGAGCGACGTTGCAGCGGCCTGGCAGCGGCGAGTCGGGGGTGGCTGAGAAGAGCTCCTCAAGCCCTTCTCTCTCTCTGCTTCATATCAGATCTGTTTGAATTAAAGCAAATTTTTTTTTTTTTGAAATTGCTAACCAAAACGACGTCGTTTTGGTTAGATTTATTTTAAGCCATTGGATCACTCACTCCAAGGATCACTTCAGGGAATCCCACTCTAGAGGATCCTGGTACACTGGGTCTATTGGAGGATCTCAATATCAGTCAGGAGTGTGATTGTGCCAACTTGCCATAGACACCATATCTGATGAACAGTTTCACTTCACAACGACATCGTTTTATGGTTGGTTTGCCTTGTTATTATTCAATTTTTTTTTTAAATGACGTAATAATTGTATTACAGACCATCCTTATCAGCCTATCTAAATTACCTTACAATATTATTAAAAAATTCATTCTCTATTTTAGGAATTATTTTTTTATCTACTTCTCCCAACAAATTTCTTTTTTTTTTATTATATTAAAATAATCTTTTTAACTATTTTTAAATTTGAATATTTTTTTAATAATAAAATATTAAACAATATGAATTAAAGTCAAAAAATGAAGGCTAAAGGCAGAAGAAAGCAACAGAAGCAATATGAATTAAAGTCCAAAACAAAAAGAAAACAGCAAAAGTAAAAGTTAGGGATCGAACGGACGGAAGATCGACCGGTGAAGTAAGTTTTGTCTCATTTGGCATATCCGGATGGACGATTCTTATCAAATATAAGGGAGTTACAGTGACTTTCTATAAATAAAAAGTAATTATAATAATCCTAAATTTAAAGAATTATATAAAGAATCTAGTGGAGAAGGATTTTGAACGAATCAAACCTTTATAAGGAAACTGATAAGCATGCTCTAAGTCAAGGCTAAAGCCTTACGCAAACCAACAGAGAAATTACATATCCAATTAGAAGGGAGAGCTCTATTTAGAAAGGCCCTCGCTACCCAATGTCAATTTGAGGCTTTTCAAATTTTCCACATGGTGATGGATGCTGGCGGCGGACAACTTGATTCGATTTCTTTACCAATCTATTTTATTTTTTTTTGTATTTATTATACTTTAGAATCTAAATTATCGGCCAATTATGAACTTAGTCTTGAATTATTGATTGAATCTTATAATATTTAAATTAAAATTTGTTTAATTTTTAAAACTGTCAATTAAATCTATTTTGTTCTTTAAGTAGGGGTTGGCATCTGTCAGGCCGGGTTTAGGTCAGACTAATACGAGATTTTGTGTCTGTACAAACTCGGTCCAGTCCTAATATCGGGTCTCTACATCTACCCAAGTTCGGATCAACAAATAATTATAAATCTCAAACCCATTCATCAGGCTATATGTTAATTTTTTTCTTCAAAACATTCATAATTAAATTCAATCGCACGTTATATTTATTAAATAAATATACTAACATCTTATAAATTTATTTATTAAATAAATATACTAACATCTTATAAATTAAAAAAATTTGCGTATAAATTAAAAAAAAATTAAAATAAATTCAATCATACATCATCACAAATGTGAGTTTCAATAATATCAACAAATGTAAAGTCTAGATCCCAACAAAAATATATATTATAATTAATTAATTCATTTAATAGCAAGTCAGGCCAGGTTGATAGTATAAATCCCAAACCCATAATATTAATATATCAGGCTGAAAATGTTGATTCAGCCTACCCCTATGAACTAAAACAACCTTTCCAAATCTTAAAAAAAATAGTGTTGGGCATGGCGGGCCAACGTGCATACCCACCCCTATCGTAAAGTATTATTTAAAAATGTGAATAAAATATACATTTCATCCAATTTCACATAATTTTTCTCTTTCTTTTTTAAATTCCTATCAAATTTCATACTCTAAACACAACCTTGATGTGTCACACATTACCTAATAAACATATGATGAGTATATGTACATTACTATTAGATAATAAATTGAGAATTAAAATAACGTTAATCTCAAAAAAAAATGATGCCATTCTTTGAAGTTCTTTTAAGTTTAAATTTGAATTTGAGAGAATTTAAAGGACTCACAGCGCCCACCATGAGTCTTGTTTTTTATAATCTAAATTATTTATTTTGTAATATCGTAGTCTTTTTATTTTATAGTATATATTTCCGAAAAAATAAACGACGAGTATTTTTTAGAACAAACGCAATAACATTAAAATACGATTGAATTAACCTATTTTTTCACAGATGATATATATAAAATGATCAATTTGGATTACAAAATGATCGGTTTGAATTATCGAACCTAAATCCGTAATAGCTCAAGTTCATGTTTGAACCTGAGAAAGCCCGACACTTAAAGAAAGAACACCAAAAATTAAAGTACTGTGTTGAATGGGGCTTGAGAATCGATTCATACTTTATCTGCTGCACAATATAAGAACTCTTGTATGATAGTGATTTTAAATCAAACAAAGTATTCGAGGCTATCAATTTTGGACTAGTTTATTTGAGGCTATCAATTTGGACTAGTTTATTTGGCTATACAATTCTTTCTTGGCTCCAACACAACTCTCATAAATGACGAATGACGTTTTATTATCACATGAAAAGAGAGAACAGATAAAAGAATGTTCAAATTATTATCAAATGAAACACAAATACAGTTCAATGCATGTTCACAATTGAACATGGCAGCGAACAACCACAGCTGAATGAGAAATTTAACAACCATGGCTGCAGGCTTAAACATTTGGTAATCAAATCAATTCCCAGCAGCAACCCAAGTTGCTGTATTATATCAGCGCTTTCTCTCTCATCTGTATCCCATTTTGTGTAGGCTTTCTATGCACTATAGACTTTTCGCTAAATTATTTCATCCCCCAACACCCCCCTGAAAACCCATTAAAATGAAACCCCCCAAATTAAAGATCAATCACCTCAGTTACAGAAATCACATAAAGTTAGCATATATCTGTACATGCCTCCTCTTCCTATTGTTGGGTGGTCTCTACCAGAAAAAGGGCTGGCTCACATTTTGCAGCATAGCCAAACTTAGATGTACTGTGCTTCCTGTGCACCCCTGTAAGCCTCCCTGCTGCTGCCTTCTGGTGGAAACTCACAATCAGTTTCGAGCATTCCCTGTGTGAGCAAGCAATTCAACATCGTTCATTAGCAAAACTAGACAAGGCTAATAATCAAAGTTTTAGAACAAAGTTGAGGATGACTCACAGGAGCTGATCTTCTGAGTAGCTAGTATGCCACTCACAGGTCTTGCTCCATTGCTTAAACCCATAAATGGTACATTGAGCAGTGTAGATTGTTGCGGCAGCCAAGAAAGATGGTGGGAATTTGAGCATCTCATACTCCACGAGGCATAGCTCAATCAAGAAGAACGATAGGAGCTCAAGCTGTTGCGAGGTCCACATTAGAATTACAAGATCTCATTTAGGCTGATTTTGAGATGAAAAAATAAAAAAAATAAAAATAAATTGCAAAATTGAGATGATCTTCTTACTTTCCTATCGGATTGAGCAGCCTTAAGGTATCTCATCAAGAAGACATATGGGGTTGGAACTGACATGTTGAACTGTAGTGTATTGAGCATCAATCTCTCCTGCAGGAATGTAAAAAGGGTTTGAATCTAATTCACCATCATGATCAAATTCACTGAGACTAATATTTGGTAACCTACAATGTTTTTGTTTAAAAAATAAAAACTTTGAACATGTTTATGTTTATTTTTGGCCAAAGGAAAACCATGTTTTGTATTTTTCGAAAATAGGTGAGGATGGGAGGAAGGAAAACTTACTTTCAAAACATATGAAAACACCTTTTTTGTTTAAGAGTTCTAGTATATCTACAATTTTTTGAAACAAAAGCAGATAACAAACAAGTTACCAAACGGAAAACTGTAAAATATAAATGTTACCAAACTGAGAGTATTTACCATTTCAAGTACTTCTTTCCTAGAGTATGCTTTATCTGAAATAAAAACTAAATCGTCGACAACAGGGACGGTTACTTCCTCATATTTGCAAGCTAAGAGCATGGCAACCAAACCAACCAACTGCAGCTTCTTCCTCATCACTGATTGCTGAGCTAAAAATCTGTCTATAAGATTAACAGTCAGAAACAACGTCTCATCCCTCAGCTCAAACTTGTGGTGTACCTGTTGATTTTGAAAGGCGATTAACAGTTGTCGAGGATTTGCACTACTTGTATACATCATTTAATGCTGATTATGTCGGGATCTGATATCCTCTTTCACCGGTTATACGTACCTCAATTAGCCAATCAATTAGTATAGCCCTCATCTTCTCATTGATGTCAAATTGTTGTGCCATGTAGTTTGGTGAAACACAGCTACAATTCTGCATAAATTGAGTCGTTTAGTGACCAAAATAAGAATAAGATGATGGATTTATCATAGACATTGGTAAAAAAGGAAACTAACAAAACATAATGCAAGTGGAAAATGGGAACAAAATAATTTAATTAGATTCAGAGAAATCTTAGTGAAAATAGAAATTAATGAAACTGTTCGGAAAATCAATATTGTGCCTTGAATTGAAACCAATTCATTACCATAGATTTTCAATAGTGTTGAGGGTTTCTATTTTCTGAGTATTTCACCCCAACAAAAAAAAAAAATTATATATTTTTTTAACTGAGTTCAGACCCCATTGTTGTATTCTAAGCCAAAAGCTAATGTAATGATCTTTTATTTTACCTCCATTTTTTTGTAGTGAGCATAGAGATCATGAACATAGTCTACCACTGCGAGCGTGTTCTTGGCATCACATATGTCAATATCCACAACTGGCTCCTCAAATATATCCTCCATTTCAACCTCCTGCAAAATTTAATTGGTTTAATAATTATTTCAAATTATTCAATTTTCATGTACAGATATCGTGAGACAAATACCATCTGATCCTTCTCATCCAGCACTGCTTCTGCTTGTTCCAATGACATTGGTACTGGGTGATCCGCGGCTGCCTTCTGTTCCTCCACATCAGCTATTGCACAATCTTCCCAAACAGTAAAATTGTGAGCTGATGATGGATTTGAATTCTTTGTAACCTCCGGGAGAGATTGTTGTGTGCTTGCTATTTGCGCCGCAAATTTCCTACGTTAGACCCCCCCAAAAAAAAAAAAAAAAAAAAATCAGATCAGCACTGGCTGAAGATAACATTTTTGTCATTTGGATCCAGCATTAAAATATATATATATTCTTTCAAGAAAATGGAAAGAAAATTAAAGTGAAGGGTCATATTCTAACCTTGTTATTGGTCGATGAGCTAGATTGGGAGCAATGAGATTGTTCTTATCACAGATTTCTTGTGTTCTGAGAATAAAAAGTCGTTAAATTAGTTGTTACCTAGAAAATAAAATAAAATAAAAATAAAAATAAAAAACGTTTTATATGATAAATTATAAGACTAGAAGAACTGAGAATTACTTTGACAATACACGCTTGTTGACAACACGAGGGTAAGGGTAAGCTCCTACAAAATTCTGATTGATTGTGCTTAACGCTCTCCGGTTGTGTCTGATCTCCATCCCAAACTTTCTGCTACCCATTTCTGAAACTCCTTTTCATCAAAATAAATAAATAAAAGATAAATTCAAAAAACCCATTTCAGAAACTGGGGGTTTTCAGTTGAATTCAAGCTCAAATATCTTAAAAATTAGACAAGTCCCAGCTCAATTTTTCAGATCCAGTTTTGAATTTTTACCTTGTAAGTTAGTGGGTCTAATCGAAGAGGGGTGATTGTTCTCATCAGACAAAACCATTTTCTTTGGTTATATGAACTAATAATTCACAACCCAGATTATAGATCTCCCTCTTCAACAAGAACCCAACTTAACAAACTAAATGTAGACTAAGAACATCTGAGAAAATAACCCTAAATCTACAGGCTCAGGATAATGAGACCAAAACGAGAGACAGAAACAACGGAATGAGGCAGAGCAGAGGTGAGTTGAGACAGAAATAGTGGGTATCTGTCTGCGGAGACATGCCATGCCCTCTTTTTCAAATCCAACGGCTAGTGAAATGAGGCCGTTGGATCATGGGGTTGGAAACGACTTTATTTGGGTCCTAACGGTAATGTGGGCACGTGGGGTTGCTTTCAAATAATTTTGAGTTTTGTTAATAGATGGGATTCATAGATGTTAGTGAAAATTATGGACACGGTTTCGGGCTGCTTACGGTTTGCTTTTTTCTTCTTTTTTTTTTTTTAGGTAGGGCACAAGTTGAATTATGTTGAAAATTTATAAAATTTTAAACCGCCAAACCGATTCGCATCCATCCGCCAAACCGCCAATCCGCTCAATCCACATCCGCCGGATTAGTGGACAGATGCGGATTGATTTTCTCCAATCCGCCAATCTAGCGGACGGATGGCGGATTTGAGATTTTTTGGCCGCAACCAACAATGAATGAATCCAGTGCTTTAAGTAGCTAAAACAAGAAAAAAGACAATAGGTTCTGAGTTCCAGTTCCAAAAACATAATTCCAACCACTAGGATCCCTTGTGATTTAACAAAATTTAATTCATCAACATAAGAAGAGCATGAAAACAAACCTCTTCTTCGGTCCTTCTGACCAATGCGCCAGATTCTTCTAGAGGCTGTATAATTTGTTTTATCCTTCGAACGTCTGTCACCCTAGCCATCCTTGTTCCTTCATACAGATCACTGAGAAGTGAAATGGACAATTAGAGCACAAGTCCGTGAAAAAGTTGATGCTGGCAACATAGCTAAGGGGTATTACTCTTTTCTTCCTTAAAAATATATTCGTTATTCAAAATAACAGCCTGTAGACCTTAATTCTGACTCAGTTAGAACTGGATATAAAAATTAAAATATGATGCGACAAACAAATCGCCTAGTGTGATCCTATAAGATATTTATAAATTTTAAAAAATAATGATGACAAATGTTCCCTTGGTTAGTGAAAAAAGGAATGGAAAAGAAAGAGAGAATAGAAATGAATATATACAAGTAACAAACAATAAGAGAATGAAAAAACATTAGTTAGCTCAGCAAGTTCAAATGGAATGCCCTATTCAAAATTATTAGCATCTCCAATTTTATCACCAAATGGGAACTGAGCATGTGTTACAAGTTATATAACTTGAAAATTGATTTTGTGAAAATTGTTTCCTGTTAAAGAGTGCATACCTAGCCACCATAGTCCCAACTCCATCTCTTTGAAATAGTTCCATTAGTAAAACTCCACCGATAGTGCCATCTAACAAATGAACTCGCTGAACGCCTCCCTGAAGAAAAAAAAAAAGAAAAGGAAACTGAAAATTATGGTAGTGAAACATAATCCTTAGGCACCATAGGCATTCAAATTAATTTCACTAGAAGAAATTTACTATGACTTGACAATTTAACAAGAATTTTCTGAAAAAATAGAGCACTTAAGATGAATGACTGCAATCTGTAGTCATGACTTGAAAAAATGGAAATGAACTGACTAAGAGAAAAAGGAAACCATGCATGTTAATACCAAATTACCCCTCATGAAAAATATTCCAGCACTTACGAGCCATCATTTCTACAACAATAATCATTTACTATATACAGGTTAACACAAGAGACCGCTTGAGAAAGTCTACAACTGCCTTCTGAATCTCATCCTTTCACCACTCCATATATAACACAATATGATAACATTTGACAAGTTTCACCCTGAATCATGACTTAAACTGCAGTATAGCACCAACCTCGACCCCAGAAAGCTCATAGCAAGACATATCATGCCATGCCACTAAGTAAAATTTTGAAAGCATAGCAAAAGACTTCTGCTCTGACTGGAAATTAAGAGTTATCACCCAATAGCTAACCGATGTATCTAATATTCTATCAACACACTGCTAATTTAGTCTTGCAAATTGCTAGAAATAAAATTATAAAAATGGTATGTAAAATCCATATATAAACATTTGATAAACAATTTTTTTATTTTTTTATTTTTTTATTTTTTAATACAATATATCTCCCTCATAGGGTGTCCAATTCGGTGGAGAATTATTATGTTAGAGGGAGAGTGAGTTGGTGGACTAAGCACCGAAAGAACGAAAAAGAAATAAAAAAAAATTAGAACAACGCTGAAAAGGTGGAACAAAAGAAATATATATATATATATATATATAAAGTAAAAGAAAGTTGAGTGGGGGTGGTGGGTGGTGAAAACAATTATGGTGGGGGGACAAAAGTGGCTAAGTTGGTGGGTTGGATGAAGAGAGAGAGAGAGTAATAAAATATGAGAGAGAAAGAGATTGAGTGGGTGCCCCCATGTGCTGGTTGTTTGGTGTGTGCTGGTGCGTCCATGGTGTGTGTATCAGTGTGTGCAGCTTCCAAGGTTGTGTGTTTGTCAGTGTGTATGTGGGCTGTGGCTATGGAGAGAGCCGAGAGGGAGAAGGAGCTCAGTGAGCTCAGTTTGTGTATGGCCGTGGGTGTATGCATCTGCTGGGTGTCCCTCTTGGGTGTGTATCCATGAAAGAGAGGAATGTTTGTCCCCTTTTCGCCTCCAATCGAGACCCAGAGAGAGGGAGAGGTGCCTCCTCTGTGTGTGTTTGTGTGATAGCCAACCGAGACCCAGAGAGAGGGAGAGGTGCGTGAATCATGTCTGGTGGGTGCATGGGCTTGGAGTTGTCTAGGGCGGTGGAGGAGGAAAAAGGAAGTCGAGGGCGGAGGCGGAGAAGCGACTGGCGCTATGGGTGGTGGAGGCGAAGATGCCGGCGGTGGAGATAGTGGTCGATGATTGAGCTGATGATCATGGGTCTGTGAATTGATTGAGTGATGTGGTGCTTCCCGTGGTTGCTGCTACTGTGGCGTGGTGATGGCAGCGGTGGTGTCTGTGGCAGTGTGCATGTGTCTGCTGTGTGTGGGTTGTGTGTGGATCAAGGCCCTCTCCCCATGCACATCGAGAGAGAGATTAGAGAGAGAGACCGTGTCTTGCATGGTTGAGAGAGTGCATGTGTATGGATCTTCCCTCAAAACCGTGTGTGTGTATACATCGAGTGATGGCAATGGTGGTGTGTTTCAGTGAGGTGCCGAGAGGGAGAGTGAGGTTTGAATTGGTTGAGATCCGGCGGGCGGTCAAGGCAAGGTTGCCGCCCGCCGGAAGGCGAAGAACACCAAGATCTTTAGCCTATAGCTCTGATACCATGAAAGTTTTATGTATAAAGAAAGAAAAAGAATTGTGTATTGAAATGTTGTATTGAATGTTATATTGAATGTACATTATATAGGAGATGTAAAGTGGAGATGGAGTGGTGGAGTAGGTGAAGTGGAGGTGGTAGTGGTGTAGTGGGTTAGGTTTAGTAGAGTAGGTGAGGTGGTAGTGGTGTAGTAGGTTAGGTTTAGTGGAGTAGATTTAACATGTAAAAGATAAAATCATACAATTTTAATGTAATTATACGAATTTTTTAAGATTTTAATTCACATAAGACACGGGTTCAATTCTCTGTTCTAAGGTGAAGTAATTTTTTTAATATAAATGATTTGGTGTAATTGGTCGTGATAGTGTAGTGGTTTTGTCCTAGGGTGAAGTAATTTTTTTAATATAAATGATTTGGTGTAGTTAGTCGTGATATAGTAGTGTAATGATTCTTCTCCTTCTTTTCCGACCACCCTCCCAATCGAGATATATTTGTAGCTATGAGTATTATAGATATGGTCTAATAAAAGAAATGATAGTGATTCACAAGGAAGTTTCTTTGATTTCTATTATTTATTGTTTTGGACTAATCAATATGATTTGATGTTCTTTTCACTTTTTATGACTTTTAGAGGAATTTTTTTTTTACAATTGGCGATTTAACAGAAAAAGAAATAAAAAAATCTAATATAAAATAGTATTTCTAATGTCACATAATACGATTGATTGGCTAATGTTTTATGGCTAAACTTAAAAAACAAAATCCCATTGAAATATATTTTCATTTACCAATTAGAATTGTCTCGCAAAATCATAGTAATATTTATGTAAAATATGAAGCATCTCATTCTACCATGTTTATTAACGTTTCATTAAATATTTAGAAGAAAAAATGATATTGTTATTTTCTTTATATTAAAATGTATATATTTTCTTGTTTATCGTCGTGTATTCATATTATTTGCATTAATTTTCATCGCTTTAATCTTTTTTTTATTTAAAAAAGGATCAATATAATTTTATGAAAATTGTGGAATTACTTGTATTATTTTGAAATCTCAAGAAGGTCAATGTAATTTACCCATTATAAATTGAGTACAGGTCAAGGTGCAGAAGGTAAACTATTTTATTACAATTAGAATGTTACACGTTCAAATATCATAGAAATATTTTATATTTTTTTAATTAAATCATTGGAAGTTGAGGATTGTATTTGTTAAATTTTAGAGATCATTTTATATTTCAAAATATTTAAAATTTTGTATTCAAATTTAATTATCTCAACATTATTGAGACTGTTTACTCCGTACTAGATTCCTGAATTAGAAAAGATATAATAATAACAATAATAAATAATTAATATCAACAATAATTTATAGATCATACATAATTTAATTAACAATCAAAAAAATAAAGCTACGTGCATGCATATTGATTAAACCAGGACTAGGGTATCAAATATTCTTTTCGGTCTATCCTTTTAACTTTATTTGTTAATATTATTAATGGATTTGACAATTTAATTTTAATAATTGTGAAGGATAGATTTTGCACCGTTGAATGAGTGGCGCTCCATGGCAAACTAGACTACCCCGGAACTAAGAACTGTAAGGACAACAAACGGTAAGGGCTTCCTGGTCCGGATTTGGTTGAAAAACTCATCCAATGAGAGAGAGTGAGTGAGTGAGTGTGTATTTGCTCAGAATATATGAAATGTCCTCTATAAAAGTTTTGAAGTTAACTCTTAGGACTCGTTTGACAATTTATTTTAGTATAAAAATTAAAAAGTTATTAAAAAATTAAAAAATTAATAATTTATACAAAAAAATTAAAGATTTTTTTTTTCTATTTTTTGCATATCTTTTTGTAAAAAATCAAAAAATTATTCTAAATATATTAATTTTTTTTACTTTATATGTCCTCTATAAAAGTTTTGAAGTTAACTCTTAGGACTCGTTTGACAATTTATTTTAGTATAAAAATTAAAAAGTTATTAAAAAATTAAAAAATTAATAATTTATACAAAAAAATTAAAGATTTTTTTTTTCTATTTTTTGCATATCTTTTCGTAAAAAATCAAAAAATTATTCTAAATATATTAATTTTTTTTTATTTTATATTTTAACTAAAAAATCAAAAAATTACTAAAATAATCTATTTCTAAACGAGACTTATAGACAGTGCACGCCTTGCTCTCAAAGGATAGTACTAATGGTCTTTTCCCTAGTTTTCTTTTGTTCTATTTGCAATTGCACTTGAGAGGCAGAGAAGGATGATGAGACTGCAACGTGTGCAGCCCTATGAAGTGTACACCGTGTCATTTTGTACAATAGAATATTCTTTCTTAATTGTTTTCACGAGAATGGAGAATGCAAGTGACATATCCCTGCTTTGGATAAAAAAAAAATGCAAGGCTGGTCTCTTCTTGCAATCTTGCTTAGCTTGATCTGAATGGAGAAACCAAACTTGGTTCCTTTGACTTGGTGCATTCAATTCACATCACTCCTTGCCCACCTTAGAGTGGCCAATTGGGTTCAACCTAATCTCTTGTTTAGCCCACCCACATCGGAATGTGTAGATGGGTCTAGTCCAATTTAAGAATTTGACTCGATCCAGGCTTTACACCGGTTATTTTAACCCTCTTCAATTATCAATTTAATGGTCATAAAACTAATATTGAACAAATATATTATGCTTCTGTTTGGGAAGTGGGTTGATTTTGTGGCTTTTTTGATTTTTTTTTTGTGAGAGAATAGTGTAATGATTATGGATTGGATGTGATGTTTTGTTTGTTGTAGCTAAAATAGTCTATTTTGCCTTTTGTAACTATTTTAGCTACAAATCAACTTGATATGTTTTTCCCTTTTGCATTAAGTAGTCCATAATGAAAGATTGACGTGCATTAACTAGAGTAGTACTTTGGTAAATACGGTTTGGCTAATGCTTGTCAGATTAGACCTTGGTCCTTGAATGAAGGGTTGAGTTTCACTTTTGTCCACGTCTAGACATGTTGTTCGAATTTAGGGACGAAGTCAAGAATTAATTTTGATTAAAGGGAGAGGTCCTTTTACAATATTTTTTTTTTGTAGCCTGAGATTTCTTACCCATACTCATATATCACACCCTCTCTCTCTCTCTCCTTCACCGTAGCCTCTTCATTTGTTTCGATATGATCACAAAAATAGAGAGAGAAAGAGAGCTTGAATCGATCGATCGATCGATTATGGAGGAGACATATCAAGTCTACCCCAGACTCTTAAATGGAAAACACAAAGCCCTAAATTTCACAACTCCATCAATCTCAATCCTCTCTATCAAGTCTCGAATTCGCAAAATCACCCACATTCCAATCCACAACCAGCGACTCCTTACAGGCACAAAACAACACCAAGATTCCACATCCTTTCTCCTCAATGGGTCTGTTCTCCACCTCATCTTCTACCTTCGCGACGGCAAAGGCAGCTTCGGCTCCGTTCTCCACAGTGCCACCACGAAGGCTACCCAGAAGAAGACCAACAACTTCGATGTTTGCAAGTAGGGCTGAGTAAGGTATCCATAAAATCCGTAATCCGATCCAGTCCAGTCCAATCCAGTAGGTTTGGATTGGTTTTTTGAATCCGTGGTTCGGTTCCGGATTGAAAAATAAAAAATCCGTAGTTCACGAATTGGTTCCGGATTGAACTCCACGGTTGCAGATTGGAACCGATCCGGACCGTATACAAATAGTCTATATATTTAGTATACACCCTCTTGCATAGTATCTTCTCTTATTTCATATAAAACTTAAATACAAACCTAAACTTGAATAGTATCTTCTTTTATTACTTTTGTTTGCTAGTTTTTAGTGTTAATTTGTAATGGTCTAAATACTTATGGTGGAACTAGTTTTCTTATGGTTATTTAAATTCTTGAACAGTTTGTCGCTATTACGAAAAAACATGTTGCTACTGTGAAACTAATATGGTGCTATGTTTATATTTTTATGAAATTAAAGTGTTATATATATATTTTTTGTTATTTAATTATGTAAATCCGTGGTCCTAAACCGATCCAATCCGTGTTTAAATGGATTGGTTCGGATTGATTCCACGATTTTTACGGATTTGATTGGTTCCAATTTTTCAGGATCCGTAGATAACGGATTGGTCCTGGTTTTACTCCAATCCGGACCATGCTCACCCCTATTTGCAGGGACATGAGTGAGTAGCGACTCCATCACATGAACGCGGTGAAGTTGGAGAAATGAAGGGCAGAGACAGAGGAATTGAGGCTAGAGATAGTTGCAGAGGAGTTTATTAAGAAGAACGAGAAAGTGGCGGCCAAAAAGGGTGGAGGAGGGAAGAGAGAAATTTTCTCTGGTAAAAGTATTATACGCAGGTGAAGTTGAAGAAGCGCCGGTCTGAAACAAATTATGTGGCCACTATACTTGTAATTGGGACTGAATGTGATATTGGTGAGAATTTCAACTTCTCTATATTTGAAAATTTTATGCAAAACTAGTGTTTGGGAAGAATTTTCTTGTGATTATGTACTTTTGCATAAACTGACTATAAATAGACTAATTGTATGCTTGTGTCAATTCGTTTACTATATAGATTATGAATTTGAGAATTGGGGTTGTTTGGTATGATTTAAATAAGTGCATTTTTTGTTTTTTACGAAAAGATGTGCAGAAAAGTAGAGAGGTGATGTGATGGAAAAAAGATAAAAAGATGGATTATTTAGGGGATGACAAACCACCCGTCAAAACATAATTTTTTCTAGTAACACAGAGAGAATTGTAAGCAAATTAGAAAAAATTGGTCAAAACACAAAGAAAATTGTGAGCAAATAAAAGAAATTTGTAAGCAAATCAAAGAAATTTCAAACCACAAAGAAAATTAAATAAATTGAGCAAATCAGAGAAATTTCAAAACACTAAGAAATTTGTCTGTGTTTGGATCAAAATTTCTCTAGATCGAAATTTTTCTGGAAAAATATTGAGGGACCCCAACTATTATAAAAATATTACATACCCTTTATTCTATAAAATTTTAAATACAAGGAATTTAAAAAAAAAATCTCTAAATTCTATAGTTCAAACCCTTGTTTTCATCTATATAAATGTGTGGGTTGTGCAACCACTTAACCTTTTTCACAACTTAAAAACGAGCGAATCTTTATAATTTAAAAATGATCAATAACTAATGTTAATTAGTATATAAAAGAAGTTTTTGAAATCGAAAAAGGGGCTACCTTTCTAAGTCCGTCATTTTTATTGTGAAAGATAATTTATATCATGGGATTAGATGGGATAAATGGTTAGATATATGATAGGATTGTAGAGATAAATTATCCCATAGGACAAATAAATAAAAAAAATGATTGAATAGAAAGAGTGATGCATTATATTTGGTTAGAACAAAGATATAATTATTGTTTACAGTTCGATGAAGGAAAAAAATTGAAAAAATGTCTCATTTTTCTAATATCACACTACCTATGGTATTATTTAATCCTTTCATTTTTCTATATTTAATAATTCATATCACTACTAAAATTATTTAGAATTTAATACTATACAAAACAAACACTAAACTATTCCCTTTCTCCTCATCCCATAATCAAACACTGATTTAACAATCCCTTTCTCCAATCTCCCTTTCTCCTTATCCTTCACTTTCGATCCTAAGTAATATTGAGACAATGAGGCTCCCTTTGACGAGTAAGATTTTTAGTTGAAAAGTTAATAAATTATTATAAATTGTCATATTATTATCTTCAACCTCAGTATTGATTCATTCTCAAAATGTGATGTGAAACTTACACACGATAGTTCTATCCTCTGTTGTCACTTCAAGATTTCTTTAGTAACCATACGTTTTAATATTTTAATTTCAACAATAAATTTTTAATTATCTATTTTTATCATTATTTTTAATGTAAACATTGATGAGTATGTGATATATACAAAATTATAAATTGTATGCAATTATGTTGACTATTAAAAAAAAATTAAAAAAAAAAAAACACAAAAGAACAAAACTGTAATAGAATTAAATTTCTACTAAATGCGTTGAATTCAATGTTATTGTAAAAATTTGAGAGGCATGTTTTTCTTTTTTTTTGGAGTGAACAAACCTATTGTTTTAAGAGAATAGTTTACCATTCACAAAATATGTGTAAAATATGTAAAAATTATAGGCCATGATTTGTTTTTTAGAAAAAATTCTGAATTTTTTTTAAAAAAAAAACAAATTTAGTAACAATAAATATCAAGAAATTATTTATGACTTTTCAAAAAATAAAATTATATAAAAATAATAAAAAAATTAAATTTTTTATTCTTCCCACCAAATTAATTTTAATTTAAAAAAATTATAAAAATCAAACCAAACATATTATGATAAGTTTTTTAAGTATTATTTGACACTTAACAAATATTGGTCCCGCTTGGGAAATTGACTATTTTAATAGGTTGTTTTATTTTTTTAACTATTGTAATAAACTAAAATGTTTGTATTTGAAAAGATAATTAATTTTTTTTGTAGTTTGATGTAATATTTATAAAAAAATAAAATAAAATGATTATAAATTTGATATGATATTTTATTTTGTTAACTATTTTAATTTATTTTATCTTTTAATAATATTTTAACCCAAAAAATAAAAGAAAAATCTTCTCCATCATCAAGACCCATTATATCAATACTATTGACAATTATTCTCTTATGTAAAATTTTATTTATTTTTATAATTTTTTTAAAAAATTCACTGACAGTTATAATTAAAAATCAATCAAATTAATAAAAAAACGAAAAAAAAAGAGAGCTTTATTTGTTAGGTTGCGTGTGTACTGGGTAGTTGTTGCTTGAGTACAATACATGATCACACACACACACGTATATATATATATATGGAAAATGATTGGTGGCCCTAAAAAAATTGCCCCTAATACCCCTAATTTCCATTTTGGGAAACTGTTTTTTTTTTTCTTTCTTTTTTCTTTTTTTTTTTTTTTTTTTACTTGAAATGGAATTTCGGGGCATTCGAGCCCCGAAATCTCGGGCCCTCAAGCAGCGCCGTATATATATACACTATACGCTCGAAAATTGCAGGAGAGTGAACCCCAACCTCATCACTGCGAAAAATAGGGGTTTTTGATCTTTGAAATTTCCATCGATCCAACTAGCATGGGCGGTGGTGCGGCGGAGGCAACCGAATCGAACAACAACGCCGCCGCAGGCGGCGGTGGTGTTGGCGGCGGCGGTGGTGCTGATGTGACTGTCCACATCCGATGCTCTAACGGCTCCAAGTTCTCGGTGCAGATCAGCCTCGACTCCACCGTTGGATCCTTCAAGTCCGTGGTCGCCCAGAACTGCGACATCCCCGCCGAGCAACAGCGCCTGATTTACAAAGGCCGGATCTTGAAGGACGACCAAGCCCTAGAGAGCTACGGTAATTCAATCGATTCTCACCATACTCGTTTTTTATATATGTGAATGTAGATATAGGTATTAGCATTGGAATTGAGTTAATTTTGTTGGAATTAGCTGAATCTACGAGTCTGGGTGTTGCAATTTCTGTATTTATTGTTCATTGATTTAATTACTTATAAAGGATTGGAATTTGTGTAGTTTTGGTAAGAAGGGGATTAAGTATGAGTTGTTTATATGGAAATCAGGTTTGTTTGGATATATAAAGAAAAAATTACCATGAAAGGCTTGAATTTGTTGGGGGATATATGGAGAATTATTGTTAAAAAATTAATTTTCAGATTCATTTTCTTATAAATAAATTGAGGGTCAACATCTTGGCGCCACATGTGATATATACAATGACAAGTTAGTAGAATTTGTCTTGTGACTTGGTTTGTTATTTCAGCAATCTAAAGTTCTCAGCATCATACTTGTTGGTGGTTTCTAATTTTCTCATGAAGTTAATTTGGATGCTTGATTCTTTGTGAGTATGAAAAATTTATTTGGTTTGCAATTGTGAAAAAGGAAAAAGAAGAATTTATTCAACAATAGAATAGAGGTGTAGTCCGGGTGTTGTACTATGAGGATCAAAAAGCTAAGTCGCCTTACTTTTGAACTCCTAATTCAATTCAAATATATCAATTTCGATTTTTAATTAAATTAAAAATTAACATAGAAAAATTAGAAACTAACTTGAAGTTGAAATCATGGGTTGAGAAGGTCCTAGGGTTTCAATTCCACCCAAACTTAGTAATCGCTGACATTGTACCAATTTAGAAACTCAATAATTGAAATGATAATAATTCGTTAGTAGCTACAAGCCCTAATGAATCGTCAAGAGAATTCAAGTAATTAAATTTTGGGCATAATCTATCTTCGCCTAGCACGAATCGTCTTTGATGTTATCTGGGCACAACTCGCCTTACTTAGTATAGACTATCTCAATATCTAATTGCATGCACGTGGATAATTATTGTATAAACTATCACACATATAATTATTGTATAAACTATGTATTCAAAATCACAAAAACCGAACACATGTATATGCAAAATTAGAAAATTAAATTCAAATTAAATCAAAGCCTTAGTTATACAATCATCATTTTGATATTGAAAATCCAAAACTAATACAAAACCATAGTTACTTGGTTAGGGTGTCATCTAAACCCCAAGAGAGGGATTTAGCCGCTCATGATGAAGGAATCCTAAGGCTTCGGTTGAATCTCCATGAAAAGCTCTTTGTATCTCCTCCTTTTTCTTCTCTCTTGTGCCTCCTCACCTCAATACATACTTCAACAACCCCTTTCCATAACTTTATATATGCCCACCCCCTTAGGGAAATTGTATATCAAAAGATGAATCCGGATGAGATTTTTCTAGCTTTTGGGCTCGGATTGCGGGCCCATTTTGACATATTAAACGTTGGAATTAGAAAATCCCTATTGTTGGAGGAGGAACTTAAATCACCTCAATAAGATATCAGATGAGAGAGATATGTTGAAAATATTGAAGGCTGCACAAAGTAACTTCCTATGTAGGATTGAATCAAATCCAATATTTTTCCTTCCAAATTGGTTTGAAGTTGATTTCCTTATTTGACTCAAAGTATCCAAGCCTCACAAGTCTTCTAAGATTATACTTTTTTCTTAATTCCTTGGTCTAGCTTTCCTAATTCGCAAGTCGATTACGTCTTCAAGCCTCTAAACCTTTAACTTAAAGCCTAACTCTGTGGAAATGACTAAATGCAAGCAGTTCAACACTTATGAGAAGTAATAAAAGACAAGTTACAGATAAAGAGAATTCAAGAATTCTGCAGAAGAAGCACTACCCTTCAAATAGGAAAATCCCAAGAAAAGAGCCTTGTATAATTTTAATTTAGTAATTAGAACTTTTTATCTTCTTTCATTTTGCACACAATGGGGCTATGTTTGGATGATTCGGGTCTATAGGGGGAGTAGAATCTCATTACTAGGAATCCAATATCTAGTAATCTAATTCCTGAGGCAATCCCATTTCAAAGTGTTTTGATAATTCAAGAATTTTATATAAGAAATCTCATTCAATTGTTGGATAAATCAAAAAAATTATAAGAAAACATTTTAGTGTGAAGTTTATTAGAGTATGTATTTTCCTTCTTTTTTGGATTGAGTTGGAATATGAGATTACCATTTGGGGTGTAAGAATCTGATTCATGTTTAGTTGGGAAAGTGATTCCAAGTTGGGTAGCTGAATAGGTAATGAAGCATCACTTTTCAATTCCCAATCCATTCCAAACAGTAGAATCATTGGAATGTAAAATTACATTCTTTGCTACGTCACAATGCGAAAGCAATTGGTTTTGTGACTTAGCTACCCCGTCACATATTACAAATCTAATTGAAATGACATTACCCTTCCAACCATTATTGTCAAATCGCAAATTGAATCGTTAATTGTTTTGCTTAAATAATGAATCGTGAATCGTATTGAATTGTGAATCATAAGATTTATTTTAGTTAATGTGATATATAATTTTATATATTTATATACACAAAATTACACACAGTGTTTAAAATGAAATAAATATCAATATAACTAATTGATCTCTTCTATATCTTGATAATTTGGCACAACGCTGTTGTTTCATGCATTATAAACCCAACCAAACCAAGCCTTAAGTCTCGTCAAATGGGATCGACTATATAAATCCTTTTTCACCACTCAACTCTATCTAAGGCCATTTCGTTAGTCAAATTAAGGATATTCATATCTCTATTTACTACACTAGCCCATATCAATCTAAGCCTGCCCCTTTCCCTAACACTTCCATCTACCGTTACTGTGTCGGATTTCTTCATTACTGCCTATGTTGGTCTTCGTTGTATATGACCAAATCATCTCAATCTATTTTCTCTCAACTTATCTTCTATCGATTCTATTTCTACCCATTCTCGAATATATTCATTTCTAACTCTGTCTTTTTTAATCTTGCCACACATTCACCTTAGCATTCTCATCTCAGCAATACTCATCTTATCTACATGAATTGTGAACTAAATCACATGATTCACTCAATTTCCGATTCAACATCACAATTCAAATCGTTTTTGTTGAAACTCATATCGAATCATGAATCGTTTGATTCTAACAACCGTGCTTCCAATTATTAAGCAACTCATTCACTAAATTTATAGGCGGGATTCATCATCTCTGTGGGATAAAATCATGAGTTATTGCAAAGTTAAAAGGAAAAAAATGGGATTATGGAAGTAAATATAATTGATGATTTTAAAATTTGTATGTAGCTTATCCCTTAAATGGTCTATTTCAAGGAAACCTATTGAAATAAACACAAAGCACTGAATTGCATGTTAGTTGTCATGCACTTGCTATCAAACTGGTAGTGCCTTTTCACTCTTCTGTCTCATTGGCACCCTGCTTGGTTTTTTTAATCCCAGTATGGATGTCACTTTTTTCCCCCCATATCAAATTCATGTTAGTTATCATGCATTTATTGTCATAATAAAGAATGAACTCAATCTTAAAGTAAGATGGTTAATGGGGTTTTTATACATGGAACCCTTTGCTTGCGAACGGGTAGTAGTTCCTGAAGACCCTTCTGCCCAGTTTGTTTGACACCCTTGAACACCATACATTTTCATCATATCAGTCTAGTAAATGTTTGTGCTTTTCACCCTTCCTCTTAATGGCACCTTACTTGTTTTATTTCAGTATATGGAAATTCATGAATGGATCCTTTCTATGTGAGCTGCAGCATTGGGAACTGTGCAAATATTCTACCTAAAATTAAACTACATCTGTTTCTTATTTTTTATGGTTGATAGGATTAGAGGCTGATCACACTGTCCACTTGGTTCGGGGTTTTGCGCCAGCTACATCAGCCGACACTACAGGTGCAACAAATACAGGAGTTCCAAATTCTACTCCAAGTGGTGTGAGGTCTGTTAGTTCTGATGAAGGTGGGGCATTTGGAGGATCTGGTGTGGGGGCTTCACCATTTCCTGGACTTGGTTTCAATGGATTAGGCGGCAGCGGTGGATTATTTGGAGTAGGACTTCCGGAATTTGAACAAGTGCAGCAACAGTTGACTGAGAACCCTAATCTGATGAGAGAAATAATTAATATGCCTCTTGTTCAGAACCTAATGAATAACCCAGATGTTATGCGGAATATGATAATGAACAACCCTCAGATGCGTGAAATGATTGATCGAAATCCAGAGCTTGCTCACATACTCAATGATCCTAACACTCTTCGTCAGACATTGGAGGCCACGAGAAACCCTGAACTCATGCGTGAGATGATGAGGAATACTGACAGAGCAATGAGCAATATTGAATCTTCTCCCGAGGGATTTAACATGCTAAGGCGCATGTATGAAAATATTCAAGAGCCACTTCTGAATGCAACTACTATGGCTGGGGATGCTAGAAATGATCTAGGTTCAAACCCATTTGCTGCTCTTTTGGGGACAACACCAGGTGGGGGGCAGGGCAGAGATCAGTCAACTAACCCTACCAGCACTGATTCTGAAACTACAACCAATTCTCCTGCTCCAAATGCTAATCCACTTCCCAACCCTTGGGCCTCTGGTGGGGGTAAGTTAAGCTCTCCCTTTGCTACTTTCTTGGGATTTTGGGTGTTTTGGTTTTGAGGCAGCTGACTTTGAGCCTCTACCTATCCCTATTTTCCCTGAAAAATTGTGAAGTTAAATGTTCCTGAGATCAGGTTGAGAAGATATTTCTTAAAAAAAAATTGCTATGTATTTTGAGGGAGGTGCCTTGGCTGCTGAAGTCAGCAGTGATGTATACTAACCCAGTGTGTTTTTCAATCTAGGTTGTAGAGATATTTTGGTGTTAAAGCTTGCCATATTAATAGGGAGAGAACTTATGACAGATTATTGAAGTTGAAAACGTTTGGGATTCCACATATATATAGGGTATTTATGTTGAAAATCCTTGGTTCACTATGAGAGACACATGAAGTGCTTTTTGCCTACTTTGTTGCTATAATTGACTGCCGCAAATGTATGGGCCAGAACTACGTAAATTTTACTTTAAAGCCTTCTTGAAAATTAATCCTATTGATCAGATATTTCCCTCTCCCAATTTTGTTATCTATGTTCAATGTTTAAAAGGTGTCAACTTTTTTACCCAATAAATCATTATCTAAAGTTACCTTCATTAAAAGTAAACTTAATCAGTGGTGCATACAGCAATTTTGCTAAGCGGGACCAAAGCAGAGTCATTTACTTATTACATAATGTCATATTTTATCAACATAGTAATTTCATGTTAAAAGGGTTTAGTAGTAGTCATAGTTCATGCTAATTATATATGTGTATGTGGCTGTATTTTTGTATTTTTGTAATTTTTCATTTTCTTCCATCTTTGTTTTCATATATATTTTACTTTTGACCCCAAATCATCTTTCAAATTTTTTTTAAAAGAAAAAAACTCCCAAAGGTGTCCTTAGGCTTGTCCAAACACACATGTCCTTGAAGTGTTCCCAAAGCATTCACAAAAAATGAATGATTAAAGAAAGTGACACACCACATGGCATGTCTGATACATGGACACACGTCTTCCCTTCCGATACATGTTAGACATGGACATGACACCCATTTTGAATTGTTCATGCTTCATAACTCATAACACTGTCTTTAAAAGATTGAGAGGGGGGGAGGTGTTATTGCATCAAACATTTTTGGCAATTACTTAAAAATAGGCATAAATGTAAGCTTTTTTATTTTCAAGACTACAATTATTTTAGTAATAAAGGTAGAAAGTTACAAGATGTATATATACTCCATATTCATAATTAAATTCTTAAATATTAGTTTCTTAATAGTTCAAGATATTGTAAATGCCAAATAGTTTATAGAGTAAAAATAAAAACAAAAATAAATAAATAAATAAATTCAATAATTAAAATTATTAAACTCGATATTAGTTTTTTTTTTTTTTTGATAAATAAACTCGATATTAGTTTAATGTATTCCAAAAACATGTAATATTTCACTAAGCAACCAATGTTTTGATCAGTGTAATTAATTATTACTTTACTGTGCATTACTTTAGTGGAGGCCAAAACTACTTTGGCAATAGTAGTTGCTATTTAAAGTAATAGTATCACTTTTATCCCTTAAACTATTGCCATTTTTTTTCCATTCTGTTTTATCCGTAACGTAAACTATCAATTTTATCTATTTACTCCGTTTAGTTTTTAATTTCAGCTGATGTAGGCTAATTGGAGATGGTTGTCCAAATTAGTAATCTTTAAAGCCTACAACCAAACACTTATCTATTTACTCCGTAATGTAGGCTACTTGGAGATGGGCAAAAAGTCATTTCAAAAATTTAAAGCAACTTAAACCATACAACCAAACACTTATTTTTTTTAGTTCACTTTTTTGAAATGAGGGGGTGGAGAATAAGATGGGTGTTTGGTTATAAGGTGTAAGTTGTCTAATTCTAATATTGTGTGAGTATGAAGATGGGTGTTTGGTTGTATGATTCAGATTGTCCAAATTATACAATTACTTTGTTGCCAGGTTTCCACATTACTAATTTGAATTTTTGAATGGGCCGTCTCTAAATGAACCATATGAATTGAAATTAAAAGCTTTAGGGACTAAATAGATGAACGTGATAGTTTAGGGATAAAATAGAAAAATGGAAATAATTTAGGGGATAAAAGTAAAATCAACCCTTGCTAAAAAATGAAAAATATGTGGAGGGTAAAGGAAAAGAAAAAATCTAAGATAAGTTAAGATAAAAATCTAAGAGTTAGATAGATGACTAATTGGAAATACTGGAATGAGTTAAATTAAGATGAAATTTTAGAAGGGGGCAAGGTAAAAGTTACTTAGACGTTGGGAAGGAGGCAAACTACTATTTTCTGTTGTAAATATCCAAAAATGTATTGGGCCCCTTAAATTTTCTTAAGTTTTGGAGGCCATGGACCCCATCTGCCTTGCTAATATATTGTTAACTTATTGTGAATATGGCAGCTGGTGGTGCTCAAACAAACTCCACTACAAGATCTAATCCTGCTGGGGATGCTAGGCTGCCGGCAGTTGGTGGCCTTGGTGGTCTTGGTCTCCCGGAGATGTTTGGTTCCACGCAGGATACTGCTTCATTAAGTCAGTTTATGCAAAATCCAGCTGTATCACAGATGATGCAAAGTCTCCTCTCCAACCCTCAGTACATGAATCAGGTAGTAATTTTCTTTGTTATGCAATTTGCTTTGTATTTGAATGTGAAGTTTCTTATTCCCTAATGCTTTTCAATTGTTAGATTCTTGGTCTCAATTCCCAGCAGAGCAATATGCTGGGTTCCAATTCCCAACTTAGGGAGATGATGCAAAACCCAGAATTCATTCGTCAATTGACTTCTCCTGAAACAATGCAGGTACATTGCTTGAAAAATCTACCTCTCACACGCTCTCTGTATGCGTCTTTTTATCTACATTAGACATGCATGTTATAAATATTGATTTAATTAAAGAAATGAAGGTCTGCATTTAAAAGGCTTTTACTGAGGCTTGCCTCAAGGAGAGGCTAAGGCAAAACGCATCAAGGCTTTGATCTCCCTAAAAGCTTGCGCATCACAGTCTGAGGCATGCTCCTTGTATGCCTTTTGCACATTTGAGGAGTACATATGAAGAGCTTGTTGTAGGCTCTTGTTAAACTTAGTCTAATAACAGATGGTTTAAACACAAAATAGTAAAAAAAATAAATATTTTGCAACTATATCCTATAGAAAAAATTAAGTAAATGATGAATCAAGAAAAAACACAAAATTAATGCTCAAGTGAGAAGTTCTATCACTAAACTAAGAATGTCAATTTTACTTTCAATGAAGGCAAGGTTCCTTTTCTATAATAAAATGTTCAACCCCTTGACATGAAAATTATTTACAATTTAAATTAATTTTTATTTAAATTTTACTATTTTAAAATATTTAATTTTTTTACTAAATATAAAAATTCAAAATTCGAAATGCTTATTTCTCGACACCTTAAGGCTTACGTCTCACCTCATGAGGGGTAAAACACCTCATGTTATGCATTCACCTTCAAAAAATTTGTGCCTCCCCAACAAAATTTGTTTGGTTGCTTACTAGCCTTTTAACATCTTGTTTTGCAGTTTATGAGAATTATTTAGGATTTATATATTTGTTTATTATGTTTCAAGAAAAGCTTAACGGTGGTGGTTAATGTTTCGTTTCTCATTCTTTTTATTTATTTATTTATTTATTGGTGTTTGTTTGTCAAGGACCAGTTAGGTTTTTAGTTTACCTCTACAAATTTTGTCCAAGTCCTAAGTATTTCGGTTAGCTACTTAAAATCAATTTTTCCATTCCTTTTTGTAGTTATAGTTTTCACTAGATCAGTTGGTGACACATCTATTATCGGTCTCAAGTTCACCCCATGTTTGTTTTGGTTTTCCCTGTTTTTTGAACGTCATTGACTTAAATTGCAGTCACTCCGTGTGGATGCATGGTTTTTTTTTTTTTTTTGTCCAAGAAAAGAAATGAAAATGAATAATGTAAGTATTATGTCATAAAGAAGAAAAAATACTTCATGTAAGAGTAGCAATAATGAAAACAAGATGTACACAAAAATTTCTGTACAGAACACCGGTAATTGCAAACCATGTAACTGTGTCCGGCAAGATGTGCTTTTAATTAACCCATTCAGTCCCACTTATATAGAATGCTATGAGATAAAAGTCCCATTTTGTACTTTTAATAATATTTACACTTGATCTAAATAGTAAGTATATCATTAGATTTATTGTAGACATAAATATTTCTTTCTTTCTTTTTTTGTTTTGTGTGTGTGTATGTGGAGATATGTATGGTATATATGCATTAGCTGGTTACATTTATGGTATGCATACCATAGAAGTTTCCGTCTTTTGTGGAGGTTTGTAGATAAATGGTTACATTTCCTGTTTTTGTGTGGAGATTTGTATGGATCGAAAATGTGAAGTTTCACACTTATTGCGTCACAGTTTTAAGTGTGAACATTCACATTTACAATGAGTAAAATAGTATGCATTTTCACATTTTCACATTTACGACCTTTACTCTTTCAAAAAATTCACATTATTTTATTCATTATAAATGTGAATATTCACTTTTGTAATAATTCACACTATTATAAATATGTATCTACATATAGATTAATAATCCAAATGAGTAAGTACCTTGGCTATCATGTTTTGGTACTACATTATGTCATATAATGCTAGATGATTGGTTGATATTCAAATTTATGTTAGGACAACCACCCCTTTGCTTGAATAGTGTGAAATGGTGCACTATGCATTGAAGTCAGGTGTAAACAAATCCCTCAACACAAAACCAAAAGTCTGACAGCCATGAATGGGTATAAATTGTGGCAACTTATTTGACTGAAGTATAGAGGGAGGGGAAACGTGTATGTGGGCCATGAATGGGTTAAATTATGGCAACTTATTTGACTGAAGTATAGAGGGAGGGGAAACGTGTATATATATATGTGTGGGTGTTTTAGTCATTTGTTAGCATGTTAGGTATCGAACTTTTAAGATTAAAAGAATATAAATAGGATTAAATGATCTACAAGTTCCATATGTAAGACTTCAAGTTAAAAATCCCTAAAAAAATGGGGAGCATGAATTTTGCATTTTGCATTAGACTACTTTGGATGTAAGAAAAGCATTTAAGTGTAAAGAAAACCTGTAGGTAAGTTTTCACCTTTCTGCTTTTATTTTTTTAGTTTAATCTTTTGATGCAAGACACCATATATTTTTAATATTATCATCTTACTTACTAAAAAAAAAAGAAGAAGACTCCATATAATTTTTTAATTAAATTTTATACTATTATCAACTTTTAGGTACCCACAAGAAGCTGTGGGCAGAAAGTTTTTATCATGAGTTTAGTATTGATAATGAAATCCATAATTGAGATTTGTAACAATGTTAATTAATTCATGAAATTTCATGGTGCAAATTAAGTTTGCATCAAACAAATTCTAAACATGAATTTCATGGTGCAATGCAAGTTAAACTGCATTAAACAAGTTGAGTTGCAATTTCATAGTCCATGAATGTACCAGGAAACCCTAGAGAGGGAGCTTTCATTGATGAAAAGGTTGCAGTCCCCCTTCCTTTTCCCTCCCAAAAAGTGCATATGTATATTCATGACTGCATGCATGCATGAACCATTTTTTTGTATATTCATTTTAATGTTTTCACTTCTTTCTTTCTTTCTTTCTTGATTCCCTCTTTCTTAACACTTGTTTTCCCCTGTTTCAGCAACTCATGACTTTACAGCAAACTCTTTTGTCTCAGCTTGGTCGGCAACCATCAACCCAGTAAGTAATTTTTCTCCTAAATTTGTTTGGTAACAGAATCTAACTTCAAGCCTGACAATCTTATTATAAACATTTCCTTGCCCATTACACATGCATTATTCATATAGCAGTATATATTTTTTGGCACAATCAATGCGGCCGTGTTACTGCCCAGTGCCCGATATTTGAATATTGTCTTTTATGAATTAATAAACCTGCACAATAGCTATATAGAATTTGGTTGTTTAGATTTTAATGCCCATTCTTTTCTTGGTTTACTTAAACGAAATTGCACTCTTGCAGGGAAGCAGGTCAAACCGGTGGGGGAACAGGTACTCATCTCTAGAAGAATTTACTCTTTGGCTTTACTTGAGATACCTCCAATAGACTTAATGCTATTGTTTTGTTGTATATTTTAAATGTTGTACAGTGGAGCTCATCATTTATGATAGCACCCTGTCTTGCCACATCTATATCAAGTTTTAACATTCTTTGTTGCAATCAATGAGAGGGAACTTGTCAATGGTTAGTTCTACAATAGGGAACTCCAAAAGAGTCTTGATGACTGTTGGTGTGGTAATCTTTTGATGTTACCCCCTACCCATAAAAATTACTTTCCCAGATAAAGAAAAGGAAAGGAAAATAAAATAAAATAAACAAGCCGAAGGAAGAAGACATTATATGAAAAAAAAAAATTTCATTTTTTAAAAATTGTTGTATGTTATTTTATCTCACTGTGGGTGTGCAACTTTTCTCCCAATAGCAGGAACACTTGACAACATGGGATTGGAGATGTTGATGAATATGTTTGGGGGTCTTGGGATTGGAAGCCCTGCCGTTCCTGTCAGATCAGATGGTGACTATTATTTCCTTTTCCCCTATGCCCTACTGATTTATGCTTTGTCATCTACTCACAGTTTATGCCTTGTTTTTTCAGTGCCCCCGGAAGAACTATATGCCACTCAGCTCTCACAGCTACAAGAAATGGGCTTCTTTGATACCCGAGAGAATATACAGGCACTGATAGCCACTGCAGGGAATGTTCATGCTGCAGTGGAGCGGCTTTTGCAGAACCCCGGTCAGTAGATTGTGATTATTGTTATTATTCTATTCAACATGACACATATCATCAATCGTGGACCGTTGTAATCGGTTTTGGACACTCCGGAGGCATTTTCAAATCTTATTTTAGCTATGAATAAGTACATATTATGATAGAACTGTGAACTTCTTGACATTAGGGTATTGGTGTGGGAATACTCTTTTTCCTATCCCCCACCCCCTTCTATATATATGAAAAGAAAAAAGACCAAGATTGCAATACTTGAGTACTATGTACATACACTTTTTATGACCTGTGTCTCATAAATTGTTTAGTTATTACATCATTTTCCCAATTTCTTTTTGGGTAATTATACTCTTTTCTTTACTCTCCACTGGATGGAGAAAATTCTGCAATTATATTTCAGCCCAATATGTATTATTTTAGCTTTGCTACATTTCATTCTCCAGATGCTCAGGTTTTTCTTGTGGAATTGGTGCTCCTCCTCAGTAATGGTTTTATTTATAGTTTTTTTTTTTGGACTTGTGTGATCTGGTGTGTGTGTGTGTGTGTGTGTGTATATATATATATATCCAGTTCAAATTTGAACTTGAGACAACTTAAGGAGTCCATGGGCCATCATAACTTTTGTTTTAATGACCCGAATTGTTCATTTTGTAGCGCTCTTAGGCCATGTTTGTTTAGATGGACTGGATTAGATTGGATTAGCATTCACATGACTAATAGTCTTAAGACTATGAATCCTTTTGGACTGTGTATCATATCCTATGTTTGGATTGAGTTAGAATTATAAGGAGGGATTAACAAAATATTATCTAATCCGATGTTTGGTTAAGGGGATTGGAATGGATAGGACATGTAACAACATGAAACATTCAATATATTGACCATAATACCTCTATTATGGTCATTTGCCAATATATTGACCATAATACCTCTATTATGGTCATTTGATAAGTTCGTTTAGATTTTGACTTGGTACCCCAATTTATATCTCACCCCTTATGTGGGATTGAATAGTCCATCATATGTGGGATACCATATCCGGATAGATTGTTAATCTGTACTTCAATTTTGTAACCAAACATTGGATTAATAATTTTATTGGACTATTAGTCCAATCCCAAGCACATGTCCGTCCAAACAAACATGGCTTCAGTGTATCTGCATGGAAAAACATAGGTCGATCCGATATTTGTAATCTTTTCATTTTATCATGTCTCCAAAAAAATGAACAACTATATGGCCCCGTTTGTTTAGGCGCATCACAGTCCAGAGTGGACTGTGATGGATGAACAATATATATAGCTCATGTTTGTTTTGTGTTGTGGCCTCCGGATTGTTAGTCCGTTGGGACTGGGATGGGCCTTGGGCGAGGGGTATTAGCAATCCGGGGTGAGAGATGGTATTAGCAAATTAGTCCATTCGGATTGGGTGTTACAGGAAGTCCAGCCGAACGTCCGGCCGGTCAACGCGTCAACGCAAATTTTTTTTTTTTTTTTTTACTTGTTGGGCATTTTTTAATTAACATTAATGTTTAATGTTTTTGTATTTTTTGTTAAGTAAAAATCATAATTTTATTTATTTTATTATTTTATATTTATTTTATATAAAAATATTAACAATTCCCTCACTAACAAAACAAACACAATTTTACTAATCTCTTCACTATGAAAACAAACACAATTTTAGTAATCCCCTCACTATTAATCCCCTTCCTTCTATCACTGAAAACAAACGGGGTCTATGTGTTTAAAAGTAGGCTGTTCATTTTTTTGGAGGCAAACATGACAAAATGAAAAAGGTTATGATTATCAGATCGACATAATTTTTTTCATAGATGATGTACATGGAATACGTTACAAAATGAGCAGTTCATATCATTGAAATGAAACCTGGGATGAGCCCCATGGACTCCTTTGAATTTGAGAGAAGCCATGTGATCTGGTTTATTGATCGAACGCAAATTGTTGGTAGCATAATGCTTCTAAAGGACAGTTTGTTTTCAGATATAGAATGGAGGGAATTGATAGTGAGGGGATAAATAGTAAGGGGATTGTTAGTGAGGGGATTGATAGTGAGAGGATTAAGTAAAATTGCGTTTGTTTTGATGATAGTTGTTAGTGTAGGGATTGTCAAATTATTTTTATATAAAATAAATATAAAATAATACAAAAAAATTAAACATTAATGTTTTAAAAAAAATACCCAACATGTAAAAAATTTTAAAAAAATAAAAATAAAATAAAAAATTTTCAGAAAAAAATAAAACAAATAAAATAATGATTTTTATTTAACAAAAAATACAAAAAATTAAACATTAATGTTCAAAAAAAAAATGCCCGACATGTAAAAAATAAAATAAAAAATAAATTAAAAAAAAAAAAATTTAGTCCGTCGGATTATTTTTCTAATACCAAGTCCTGGAGGCCTATCTGAATCCCCTTGGGAAAGCTCATCCTAATTCGGAGCTCATTATCAATCTCCTCTCCATCTCTCAAAACAAAAACAATATTAGTGGGTTTCATCTCACTATCAATCCCAATCCTCCCTCTAACTCTCTAAACAAACGGGCTTAAGTGATCAATTGTTGATTGTATATTGCTCTTACAAAAGCGGAAGCTTCCTTTAGACTGTATAAGCTAATTATTTATTTTTCCCACATTTCTCTTCTTTGTAAATATTCCTTTGCAAATTTCTATCTGAAAGTGATGCTATCTAGTCTACTTCAAATTCTAACTCATTGATGGCCTCTGTGTCGAGTAATATGTGGTTCGTGTTTTGAACAAAAATGTATGGACGTTTGTAGGAGGGTTGAACCACCGACCTCCTTTACTATTTGCAAGAGGTTCATTCAAGTAGAGCTGACAAATTTAGCCTGAAATTATGAACTTGTTTAATTATATTCATTTAAAATTCCTTTAAATCTTTTGGTAAACTGGTTTAAATGTGTTGCATTTAGTAAACTCAATTAAATTTGATTTAATTGAGTTGGATATGAGTACCAGATCAAACGCCGTTAAACCTCCGCCACCGATACACAACTACCACTATTTATTGGGGAAAGAATTCAATAAAGTAAGATCAAACTCGCTTGTTAGGCTCGTGCGCAATTCAATTCAATCCGTTTAAATGTTTATGAAATGGATGTTTGCTTAAACTGAGTGAATTTAGATTGAATTGTTTTAATTGGATAACCTGTTTTGGAAAAGAAATCCAAAAGGAAAAAATGAGGTTAAGTGTTCTTTATTTAGCATATAATTAGTTATAAAGGGTTTGAATTTTCGATTAGAGGGGCTCCAGTCTCTGAATATTACAAAACAAGCTTATAAATGCAAGGGAATTATTCATTGAAATTTTATAGTTTTGCATGAATAATATATTCATGAACTTAAACTGTGTTTAGTGTAAAGAATTCAGCACTAAAACTTGTAATGCAAAACCTGAAGCTTTATCAAGATGAGAAGATGTTACTTTCCAGCTTCCATCATTTAGAATGTTTGACATCAAAGCTTCAAATTTTTATTTTTTATTTATTTATTTATTTATTTTTATTTTTTTGGAAAAATGGAAAGACAAAGGAAAAGAAGAGGGAAAAACAAAGGAAAAAGGTTAGAAGATGAACGGATTAAATTATAGAAATGGAACCTTTAATAGGCCCATGGTTTTAACTGGAGAGTTCAGTTGTTTTGTACAATTGGGAGACAAACTCTTCACTTTAATATTTTGGTTTTTACTATGAAAAAAAAAGTTTAGTTACTCTTTAGTTATTTTTGTTGTCAATTTTATTTTAAATATTAGTAATTTTTACTTTTAGTTTATTTTAGTTTTGAGTACGTGCTGTAAACTTTCAACTCCAAATTTTAATTATAAATTGGCGTGACATCATGTGAAAATAAAACTTGTGCATTTTGTATTCGCATTACTTAATTTTTTTTTCTCTATCTAGATTTATAGGGGGAAGAAGGGAATCAAACTTGTGATTTTCTAACGAGGCATATGAATTCTAGCCACTAGGCAATCATATGGCAACGTTTACACAAATGATGTTGAAAAAGAGTTTGTGACGTTTTAGAAACACCACAACATCCTTAATGTTTCTAGAAAATATCATTTCAAGTTTTATTGACGTTTTCCTTATATATAGTGGCATTTTTTGAAATGCTAATAAATCTCAAATTTCATGTCATGAGGTTGATCTTGGTGTTTTCTAGTTTATTTAGTTAACATAAGTTAGTTATTGAACATATTTATCACTCGAATTTTTCTCAAAAAATCATATGTGCAATCAAAGTCATACAATCTTGCATTTAAGAGTAATGGTAGAGACCCCAAATATTCTACCAAAAGTTTTAGGGTGTGGGACCCACACAATGTGAGTCCCATGTAGGTCCCACACCCATATGAGACATTTGGTAAAATTTTTGATAGAATTTTTAAGACCTCTAGCATTTTTGTGCATTTAAATAACCGCAGCCGCTAATGCCCCACAAATAGAACCTATTCTATCAAACATAGTTAATGCATCTCATGTGAAAACTACATTCTCATCCGCTTAAGTTTTTATATTTTGTTTTTCTTCATCTGTCATATAATTATTCTTAATTGTCCTTGACCGTTTGATCATCTACCTTTCCAAAAAAAGCTTTTCATTGCTCTTTTTACTTTTTTTTGGTCTATCCATCTCGACGTGACAAAAAACTTCAATCCATCTATCACCTTTCTACACAAAAATCATTTTCTAAACCAAGAAAATTCATCTCATACTCCCCTTCAAGGTTTATATCTATCTATTTTTATTTAAATATTTTGGATTGATTGATTGATTTATATTTTATTTTGTGTGACTTTTAGAATTTTGTTATTATGTTTAAATGTTTAGGGTTTAATCTATATGTTATTTTTGTTTTTATATTTTTAAAATGTCCCAATCTTTTTTTCAACGTTTTAGAATGTATGCGCTTGTTGCAGCTTCTTTATGAGATGTGCTTTTGATTGTTTATGAGGATGGATGGAAGTGAAATAATAATATCATAAAACTTACTAGTTTTTGCTTTTGATATGATGTGTTGGGCACAAGTATTAAGGCCAAGTTTGACATGATTGAAAAAAGATAAAAAATCAAAAAGTTACTATCCTATTTGAGTCACATCACCTCTCTAACACATCACTTCAAACCCAACCCAAACCCAACTCATATTTCATAAAAAGTCAAAAAGTGCACTTATTTAGTCTTCCCAAACTAGGCCTAAGTATCATTTTTTTTTTTTTGTTGAGTTGAGTCCAGTTATAATCATACATTTTTATTATAACATTTTGGACTTTTCTTAAGTGTGCAACTTACACCTTACACTTACGTCTTTCTGTTTGTTGTCCTGTTTTATGTTTACACCTTCCACTTACACCTTTTGTGTTGGTTGCATATGGTGTGCAACCTTAAGGGGTTGCACACCATAACAACACTCTAACATTTTTTATCGCTTATTCATAATGGGAGTGAACTCTATATCTTCATATAGTATGTAGTCCACTTTTATTATAAGCCGACGATAAATAATATTGTAAAAACTATGTGAATCATAATTTTTTTGGTTAATAGTGATTTTTGTATAAGAAAAGTTATTCTAGCCATAATATATTTCGTTCAAATAGAAGTAACCTAATGGGTGATATATGATGCGGTGAAAAAGTAAATATTTTTTGGTTTTCAGCATTACCTTTTGCTAGTAATAATTATGTATTTTTAAAAATGTATTTCTACAACAATGTATGCACTAAATTTATTTTGAAATTAATTCAGTTTTTATTTTAAATTTTTGATTTTCAATGTATATACTTTTCAAACTGTGACTTCATACAATGGTTGGACAATTCAAAAAAATTGGATGAGTTTCTCTTATTTATTTATTATTATTTTTTGGCTCGCATATAAGTTCCCACTCATTTAAAAATTAAAACAATGAATTCTCTTTGTACAATTTAATAGATTTTGTCAACATGTGTTATTCTACTTTAAAAAGTTCAAAAAAAAAAAAAAATTATAAACAAAAAAAAAAAAAAAAAAAATTATAAACTCTGCATAAAAGTGAGTGAAATAAAAAATATATAGTCATTACTTAATTATGTGGAACAATTAATTACTTCTATGATCTGGGGGCAACAAGACAAATATATATATATACATATATATTATTATTATTTATTTTGAAAAAACAAGCAATAAAACGCATCATAAAATAAATATCACGAAAATTTTCATAAAATTAATCTAATGTGATTGCATAACATACAATAAAACACTACAAACTAATTTAAGGACAAAAAATTTTAAATTTTTTGATAATATTTTTTTTATGGTGTCTATCATTATTGATAAACGTTAATTGCTGTCAATAGACAATTTGGGAATTAAAATTAAAAGGGTTGAATGTTTTGGTATATAAAGGCAAAAGTGTCAGTTCCACCCAAGATACAATAAATAGTGTGATGACATAAGTCGAATGTGTGATGTTGTTACTTGCCTTAAATAATTAAGGTTACATTTAGTAGAGTTTTGTAAATATAATTTGAGAGTATGAGTTATATTTTGAGTTTG